TCAAATATTATTTTAATATTTTATTAACAATAAAAAAAAAGAATAATAATTATTAAATAAAATTATTACTTATTTTTATTAATATGTTCATCTCTTGAAGACTTTGCGAAAAAGCATTTGCTATATTTTTTCCTGAATATGAGCCCGTAAAACTAATAAAATCAAGAAGTACATCTTGAACTTTTCAATCAGTATTAATATAATGACATATTATACCTAAAAAATTAATTATATTTGGTGAAGTCCATCTATCTATAGTAAAATTTAATTTGCCTGGAATATTTTTTTAATTTAAAAATAATTTAAAACAAATTAAATTAAGAGTTTATTTTATATTAATATAATAAAATAGTATTATTGTTTTAAACAAATTTTTTAAAAATTTTATTACTAACCTGTAAAATTATTTGAATCTTTTTTCAATATTCTTTAAATAATTTTAAAATATCATTTTTAATTGTATCAGCTGATGATAAACATACTCTTGAATTACAGTAATTTAATAAATCCTGAAATTCTGGACATTTAACTACTATAAATAATTGATCATCTGTTACAATCCATGTAACCAATTTTTTACGAAAAGTTTTTTCAGAAAATATCTATAAAAATGTTTAAATACTATAATTAAATTTGATTTATTAATAAAAATAATAAAAATTTTATATATATTTACCATATTTAAATCTTTATTTAAAAATTTAATCATAAAATTTGCTTGTTTATTAACTGAAGAAGTTGTTTTATCCAGATGACTTTTAAGATGTTTGAATAAGTTTCCAGTTGAAGAATTTAAACTATTTATATTATATACACCTTTATCACAATATCGACATTTTGCTCTTAAAATTCCTTTATCATCTTTAAATTTATCAAAATGATTCTATACATCACTTCTCTTTTTTTTTTGATATACTAGAGGAAGTAGAACTTGAGTTATTATTGTCAAAATCTAATTCTATAATTTTATTTAGTTGTTTAAGTTTTTCAGATATTATTTAGATATTTGTTAAAAGAAAAAATTTTACGAGAAATTAATTCAACATATCAATTAAATTTTAGATCAATCTTTTATATTCAAATTTGATTTAATACAACATTGTGATTAGTGTCATTTTTCCATATTTAGCATATCTAATTACAATTTATTTGCTATAATAAATGCTATAAATTATTATATGTATAAAAATTAAAAAATCAAAAATCAAAAAATTAAATATATTATTTTAAGTTATAAGTATACATATATATATACTTGCATTATATTAAAATTACATTTAATAATTTTACAAAAAATTTATAATTTATAAAAAAAATAAATTATATTATTATAATAATAAATTTATCATTTTAAAAAAAATTTAAAAAAAAAGAAAAAATAAATTGATTTATTTTATTTTATTTATTATTTTTTTTTTAATCATTTTGATCAGATTTGATCAGATTTGATCAATGCAAATATATATTATAAAGATGCATAAATTAATTATTTAACCAAATAAATACCAAATAAATATTAAATCTTATCTTATTTAAGTAAATATTATTTATCAATTGTAAAGCAGATGCAAATCAGTTTTTACATTTTTTATTTAGTATTTATATATGTTGATCAATCAATATTTTTATTTATAATAAAATTTATTATTTATAAAAAAAATTTGAAATAAATAGAATTAACTAAAGCGAAAAAAAATTATTTTTAAAAATATTCTTTTTTATATATTAAAATAAAATAATTTTCATCTGACATATAATAATTATATTCATTTTGACGAAAACAAACTTGTCAGGATATTTGTTCAGATATTATAAATTTTAAATTTTAAATTTTTTTTTATTGTAAATTTTAAATTCTTTTATTATAAATAATTTTTAAATTAATTAATTTTATTATTAATCATTTTAATATCTTTTGAACTTCTTTTATATATTCAAAATATATATAAAAAATATATGAAACAAATAATATAAAGTAATATAATACAATATATAATATAAGACAATAATATAATGTAATGCAATTTAATGTATTGTAATATATAATATGAAATAATACAATGCATAATATGAAACAATTAAATTTTTAATAAATATATATACTTGCATTTAGCCAAATATAGGATAATCTATAACTGTTGATCTTAAATACTATGTAGAGATAGCAAGAATTGCTTAGAAAAAAAGATATGAATTAAATTGCAATTGTGAAATTATCAATTTAACTTCGCAATATAAGTAGCATTGTCATGAATGTTTTTACTTCATAACCCTAAATAATGTAACTTAAAAAAATCAACATATTAATACAATCAAAATAATTTAATGTGGATTTATCAAGTTTAAACTTGAAAGGGAGAAAATGGTCAAACCTTAAGCTATAAATGACCACCCTTGAATTTTTATTGTGTTTGATAAAATATGTAAGGATATTTATTGAAATACAATAAATCAATGAAATTTTATTAAAAATAATATATAAATTATATTACAATTAAATAATAAATGCTTAATTTGTAGCATGCCCAACTAAAGTAATAATGCTTTAACCTTTAACCTTCTATCAGTTACTATTTAAGAAATAAAGTATTGTGAAAGAGAAAATTTTGAGCTAATTTGTTTCTGAAATAAAAAATAAAATAATATTTTATTAGTTAAGATTTTACTAGATTAGCATATATTTTAATTCATCAATTTAATTAAAAAGTAATTTCCCAATTTTCATTAACAATTAATTACCTCTTTTCTTTTTGTAGATACCAGATCATTCTACAAGATAACTTTGTGTTAAGTTTTTTAAAAATTTTAAAAAAAAAAAATATTTAATTAAAAAATTATTTTATTAAGACTTACACTGGTCGAAATCAAAAAAATTGGACATGTGAAAATTAGCCTAAAATCAGCCTAAATTTGGCCTAAATTCGGCAAATTATCAAAATCAGTCTAGCCGATTGGTATACATCAGAAATTGGCCAAGAATCAGCCAAAATTTGACCTATCTTATTTATAGCCGATTGGCATACTTATAGCCGATTGGTATATATCAAAATTTGACCTATATTATTTATAACCGATTGACGTCCGATTGGAACGATTGAATTGTTCCTTAGGTAACGATGGTATCATCGTACCTAAGGTACGATGGTTTTATCGTTCCTAAGGAACGATGCATTTATCGTACCTTAGGTACGACGATTTTATCGTTTCTAAGGTACGATGGTATTATCGTTCCTTAGGAACGATGGTATTATCGTACCTTAGGTACGACGATTTTATCGTTCCTATGATGAATCTGATGTGGCCAACAATTCCGAAGCTTCAAGCCAATCAGAGTCTTCACATGCGAGCTCTTATTCCGGAAGTTCATCTTTTTTTGAAAATGTTGAGACCCGCTTTAAGGAAGTTTTTAATTTGCTTAGAGGAGGTATTTCTTTTGATTATATGTGTGAAACTGTAGCTCGTGAAATCCGTCAACTTGTAGGGAAAAGATTGCAGGGGCTACTATAAAAAGTTTTTATTATGGGTACAGTGATTCGAAATATAGTTAATTAGCAAATGGTTAGATAGCAAAGAAAATATTAGCATTTTAGATAATACTACTGAGTAGCGGGGAAGGAACTGCCATTATATGGGTTAGGGCTCGGCAGGCTTAACAAGCAGGCGTGTTCTTTTATGCCTTTCCCCCCTTGAAACAACCTGCTTCTCTATTATTTTTTACTTTCATTTTTTCTTAGCCGACCGGCCCTTTCTCATGTATTATTATATTAAAAAATATAATAAAGAGCTTTATTTTGAATTTTAAAACAATGTGTGCATATTTTATAAATGTATTAAATTCACAGACAGCGGACCGTAGGTCACATGATTATAGGAAATGTCAAAGCACTTTGATAGATGCATGTGTTTGATGTGATTGACTACCTTTTTAATAATTTGTACTACGCATATCATCATTATCAATTAACGAATATATTCTTTATGTCATTCTCGGTTTTAAAACGCGTATTTTTTATTTTATTTACACGTAAAATATAGACTATCAAAAGAAACAATTTCATTTCTTTATCTTCCAGGTAACCTCACTGCTAATACTAGCTTCTTCTAAGAATACTGGAATAAGCCTCCTGGAGAATGGGGAGTTAACGATTGGGATTTGTATTACATTAAAAAAGTACCTGAAGCGAACAGACGTGAATCTCATAATTCGCTTGGATCTGAGCTAAAAATTCTTCTTGCATTACTACTGGAAAAAGAACCCCAGTATCAGTGCGCAAGAGTTTAAAGAAACGACTTAAAGTTAAGTTCTACTCTTCTAGCATATTTGCACAAATTACATTCCCGCGCCCGCCGGCCGAGTGACTTTGTCACAGAAGGCAACCGGTTCGCTTGCCTGAAGTGGAGTGTTGATGCTGTGCATGTTCAAATGAAACCACACCCCTGCGCCCGTTGGCCGAGTGACTTTGTCACAGAAGGCAACCGGTTCGCTTGCCTGAAGTGGGGAATGTGCTGATGGCACGTGTGGTGTATGACATTTTGCTTGCAGTATACATTGCGATAATTACAATATTTTAATTAAATATTTTCATTTTTTAACTAGGAAGCCGACAATCTTCAAACCAATATTGATTTATGGAATGATGATATGAAAAAATTAGCGAATCGGAAGTTAACAACAGAGTGAACATGGTAAGCATGGATAGTTATGATATTTTTTTTGTATTAACATATTGTCTTATTGTAATTCCACTATCCAGCGTAATCTAGAAAATGTGGTAATAAGTACGGGCATATCGGCTGGGATTCAGCACTTTGAAACATATAATTCTCAATTGTTGATTTCCCAACAATATGCCGGCATGAGGTTTGATTCGACGGAACAAGAACGAAAGAGAAAAGCAGACGAAAATAACGAGGAAGTCTCTTCTCGCGATCGTACATCTCCTTTACGTGACGATTTTTTTGATGGTTAGCGAGGTGGATGATAGCGGAATAATTGAATGGGAATTTGACAGTGCAATTCTAACATGGCTTGAAAAAGGAATGCTGTATCATAAAGAATTAATTTCGGAAGAAGATGAGGATAAAAGAATCAAAGATTCATCAAAGTAAATGCTTTATAAATGTCATTTTTTACTTTTTTTCACATGATTAAAGTATAGTTAAATTTTTTAAAAAAATAAAAAGGTCGATATGGTGGAGAATTATAGATGGATCAGATTTAGATGTAATCAGAGAATACCTCTCAGAAGAAGAATTTTTAGAATTACAAGAGGTTTTAGCTAATGCACTCGAATTAGGAACTACAATTAATGATTGGACAATATTGAAACCACAAGCAGAGAAGTGTTTACGAGATTTATCAAAGGTAAATGGCTATAATTTTATGAAAGTTGTTATATACTTTATTTGTATTTATGTAAATTTAATCGCATTCTCTGAACTCAGCTAAATAACGATCAGATTAAAATAATTGGTGAAAAAGTTCTTCCCGAAGGAACACGCGGTGCATTAGAAGAACTAAAAAATTTTCTAAAAACGAGTTCCCAAGAATTTGATCTCGACTTGTTTGGCGATTCAAACAACCAAAAAAATCAAACAAATGATGCGGAAACTGTTGAAATCGATTACTTAGATGAAGACGTAACCTATATTTTTGATTTGATAAGATTTACGTAAGTACTATACATCTACTGTATGCCAATGGATTTCATTACTTACTTACAACTTATTTGAATTCCTTTTATCAGTTGTGAAATTATTAAGAGAAAAATTCCAAAAAGGAAAATACAGAAAGAGATATTGATGTCTTTATAAAAAATTTTATTTTTTCGTGCTTAGATAATATCATGGATCGACACTTGTAAGATTTTCTATTTTATCCTTTCTATTTTTTTCTTTGTCTGTATTAATGCACGTGTTTTCTCATAAATAACAAATAAGTGGTGAACCAGTGTCTCGAGCTTCTAGAGCACGTCGTGACAAGGCTCACGAAGGAGATGAGGGATTTCATCTGGATTGGCTCTTTTGTGTATGTTAAATTATACATTATAATGTCAGTTTGAAGCATATACTAACATAACTTGCAGAATCATGAATTAGGAGCAAAAGAGTCTTGGGGCCGTGAATTTTCTCTCTGCGAAAGAGCTGGTTCAGTAATCGATAATACAAGGAAAATTTTTTCTAATACACTGAAGGTTAAAAAAACATTAAGAGACATGCACATGTCATTAATGAAGTCTATCGCATCTGTTAGCAATAAGAGGGTGTCAAAAGAAGTACTACGATCATTTCCGAAGTTATTGATGCCTGGGCTTATTTCTTCACATTTTTTTTTACAAGCAGTGTTAATAGTATATGTTGGTGCTGGTTTTTATGTTTCCACTGATTTGGCCGAGTTAGAAATTCCTACCGATTATAATGAACTTGATAAATTTTAAAGGTCGCACGTGTTATTTTACAGTTCAAGGTTAATAATATTCTTTCTAATACTATTTATGTGAATTTTATGTGATATCTTACACAATTTCTTTATGTAGAAGCTACTAAAAAAAACGATGCTAGGATATAAAATTATTAGAGAGCCGAAAAAGAAAAATAAAAAGTTAATGAATGAACATGCAGAATATCCTTCTCCACAGAAGAAGAAACAGAAACAGGAGAAGAAAAAAAAGACCCCGAAGCGGTCTCAATGTTTATAATATTATATTGTTTAACAGAATGCTTTGGAATTTTAACGTGATGGTTGATTTAATTTATTAGGAAAAATGAAAACATTAATTTACAATGTATGGCTTCACTAAAAAAAATCGCTTATGTAATAATTGATTAATCTGATAAAAACGTATAATGCTTATGTATTAGCCTATTTTAGGATGTCTATGAAGATGTTAAGAGAAATCGCAAATACTGCATCTATTAATAAATTGGCCAAGAGTAGGTCATGATTTTTTGTTAGCAAAGCTAACTCTGACATATTTTTTATTATGCAACTTGAATTATTAATAAAAAAGCTTCCGTGATGAAATGGATAATATTATTTTACGAAAAAATATAATAAAGAGCTTCACTTTGAATTTTTAAACTTGTGTTCATGTTTGCAAAATTATTGTATGTGACAAGAAAAAAATCTTTATTTTTATCTATAAATGCGCTAAACTATATATTGAAATAATTTAAAAAAATTAACTTTCCCCGGAGTTGGCTCCACTCGCTGAGGAGATTCTACAAGAATATTAATAAATCTACTGTTAAAATAATCATTAATCTTATCATCTAATTTCATTTCTTTACATGTTTTGTTCTTATGGTCTCTTCTGTAAAGTATTGGTCATGAATTTCAGTTTTTAATGCACTGACCAATCTGTCGTTATTAATATAAATCCCATTTAACTGGCTTTGATATCACCAGTCGGAATGACAAAAAAAGTGAGGTGAATATTTTTGCTCATTTCTAAATATCAAAAAATGGAGTTTCGTTAATTTTTATATATTTTAAAATGAGTACCAAAATAAATATACCCATTTTTTCTTTCGGATATGAACAATTGATATCCATACCAAATTTGTGAAATTATACTAATCGACCTATATTGGATCATCTGAAAAAAGAAATAAAATATGGAATCGTATGCATGTGTTAATTATTTTAACTACGTCTTTATGTTATAACTGAATCATGACGTCAGAAAAATCGTCCAATCTACATGCATCGTATACAAAGTGCTTTCAGCTAGAAAAATGATGGCTTAGTTATTGCCAAAATCTGATTGGTTGATCCTCGTGATTTGAGTTGCGTATATAGGCCAATTTATGCCATCTAGCATCTCAATTTCTGATATGTGAAGTAAGGTGGATAAGTCAGCAATTTTCTCATTTTTTCCATGGATGAAACTGGGCTGATTTCTTTTGGAATTGATACATGCTCTTTATAATGTACTGTATATGATAGACTAATTTGTGAAAGAATAAATTATACTCTTCAATACATTTGCAAGTTTGTTAAGATATCAAAATTAGAGCATATTTTTTCCTTCACTTTGTCATTTACTGAAAGGTTTTATCTTTTATAATTTTATAATGCATTTCATGAAACTTTCCTATAAAATTCCAATAGATTATTTATCATAAAAACCTTGTAACTAATTCATTCACTATGAAATATTTCATATAAACCACCTATCTTTTAATATAACATTTTTTAACTGCACTTCTGTAAGTATACTTATAAGCGATCTCACAGAATTCCATCATTTTAAAAGTAATGTCATTCACTATGATATTCTCTTTTATAGATTTCTTAAGTCACAACTTGGTTTTTTTATGCATAATCATCAATTTACTTATACTTCTTATCTGGATTTTTGATTTGTATTATTTATTTAAGGATGTTAGTTCATACCTCTTTTTATACATGATGAATTAGACACAAAGACATGATAGATTTTTATAATAATGATATAAATTTAACTCTTTACTTAATTCTTTCGCTACTTTAGCGAATTTTATTTTTTCACTCTTAGTATTAATTTTTAGAATTTTTCTTAGCTCACACATAGTGTACAAACACGCGTCACGTAACATTACACAAATTTCCAAAAAGGAAATTTTGCTTTTACGAAATTTGTGGATTAGGGTTAGAAATATGTTACACAATTTTTTTTTTGAAAACTCATGTAACGTCGCATGATTTATAATTTTTTCGTGTCGTGTTTATAAACTGATCTTCAGTCACGAGACTTTATCATATGTATTATTTGTATTGCCTATTGTTTCGCTTCGAGTCTATCACAAAATCAAAACTTTTTTTACTTATCTCTTTTAACCACTTGCACTCTCTAAATACTACAAAAATGTCT